ATATATTATTTCTATTAAGGTTACATTGTAATTTCAAAAAAAGGAAAATTAATTTAGTTCATAGGTAAATAAAATTATATAAGTCGAATGTATAATACTAGATCAGAAATCAATATGAAATTTTTTTATCTGCACCACTTTCAGGCAGCTTCAATGGTTGGATCTGGAGATTATCATGCTAAGCAAATAAGCCAGTCCCAAAGAGCCAAGTGTGGAAGGCAGAATGCTTTCTCTAATATGTGGAAGCTAATTCACAATAAGGTGGGAGGGTAAGGAGAAGAACAGAATTTGAGTAGATTAGACAATGGGAAATGGAGGGAAAGAACGAAGGAAGGGAAAAGGAAAGATAGTGGAATGAATCTGACATAATTTTCCCATGTACATATAGGAAAAAATCACAGTGAATCTCACAATCATGTATATGTACAAGAATGGGGTCCTAATTAGAATATAATATATTTCATAATTGTATAATTTTATTAAAATAAATTCTGCTGTCATGTAGAAATTTTAAAAATATTGAAATTTCATTGGAGTAAAGAGGATGAGTATACAGAGGAGGATATTGGAGCTACCTTCATCCAGTTGAGTAATGCCAACATCATTTTGGCTTTAGTTATGGGCAAAGGGATGGTAGGGGTGTGTCCGCCTGCCTGGAATTATGACTTACCTTCTGGTCCTGACTTAACATTTATTATCCTTCTTCAAAATTTCCCTATCAGACCATAAGCTACATAGTCATATTATATATGTAATTTTTTTACAAATTTAATATAAAATAAAATTTAAATGAAATATTAGATCTCTGAATAAAAGACAAAGTACCATTTCATATCAATGTTGACTAAAGATAGCAAAAGACAAAAAAAATCTGATAAATAGTACATTTATATTGTGAATATAAATATAGGGTATCAGTCTTCTATTTTTTTATTATTCTTTGATATATGATTGGTTTACATAGAACTTTGAGAAAGCAACAGCTGCTATTGTAGAAATGTGAATTATGAAAAATGAAACTGTTCCTTATCTATCTGTGTGGGCTTGGGAGATGGGTTCTTAGCTCCAGATCAGGCAGGTTCCACTTTGCTACCCAAAAAACAATCACAGAGCCTGAAAAAATTAACCTGTATTCTAATTCTAAGCCATTAACTTCCTGCCCTCTGACTGACATGAGGGCCACATAAATACATTTGAATAAAAATACAAGGGCAAAAATTCTGGACCTCTGATTGTCTTCCTTATTAAAATTATTCCATGTTACCACAGGGTCATTGCAGGCCAAGAGAGAGGTAGTAAATTACTATAATCAAAAATTTGTAGGGGAGCCCAACTGTACATGACAAATAAATGACTCTTCATTTTCTTGTATATAGAATTGCTCTTAGGCACATCAAAGCATTTAAGAAACGTCTTTGGTG